TTGAGTCATGGCTGGAGCAGCATTTTAATGAAGCCTAAAGATCCACAATAAATTATGGGGAAATTCATTTAATTTGTTGTGGCTTCGATGGGAATCGGGTGTGGGGCGAAAGACCTCCCAAAGTTCTTAAATGACCAATTTGTTGCTCTCGATTGTGTTTTGAGGTTTACTGTGGTCTCTTTTTAATGCAATGAAAACTTCATTTTTCATCGAGTTATTTTGATAACTGTTTGGGAATCTCAATGGATACTTTTTGGGGAGGGGAGGGAGAAGAAACTAATACTAATTAAAGTGGGAAGGTTCAGTCTTTTGTTTCCTTTTTCACGGGTTTCCTTTGAAGTCTTGTATTGTCTTGTTAAATACTTATTTATTTCAGCACCTTTATAAATCTATCTGATATCTAATACCAGAGAAAAGAGCCCTGAGAATTGAATAGTAACACTTATGTTTCTTACGAATTTAATTTTAAAGCTTTTATAAAAATTTTGTATATGTAAAACCGAAATTTAATTGAAATGTGGGTAGTTTTCTTTTTACTATGCCATTTATCAATATAAAAGAATAAGTGGAAGAGTTTTCATAGTAGAGTACATTTTTCCTAACTCTGGGAGTTTCTAAAGCACAGTTTGATGCTTGGTTATATTAAAACTATTCCGATTCCTAGGTACGAATAGGAACATCAGGAGTCACGATTGTTAGCCTGAGAAAGTTTGTCGCCTAAGTCTATTGTTTCCATTAGCCAAGCTGGCGGTTCAGGCTATCCATTATCTTAATGAAAACATATAGAACTGTCCATGTATCTTTGTACAGTGCAATGAATGCCTTAAGCCTCTATCCCACTCCCAGCGCCACTCCGGGCAAGTTTGTCGCCCAAGTCTTTCGTTTCTGTGCGCACATTCCTTGTGGCTTTTGGGAGAAATCAAGTTTGCTTTGCGAAATCTTTTCTGCACATCGAAGCTCCACGATCCGCGCGTCCTTTTCATTATTTGTAGGTGTCTATTGGGTCAGACAAAATGCATTGGCAATATCACAAAGTAATGAGATATGCTCCCCTGATATATGGCAGGCACTTTGGGCTGACAAAATGAGCAGCCGGGCCATAAATATGCCATCCGACAGCCACATCTGGGCATCTGGGCATCTGGGCACATCTGAGACGCTGAATGCGCCGTTGCCAAGTGATTTTCTCGCACTTATTTCCAAAGCTGTGCGCCGTCGACTTGATAAATTAACACTCTGCACATGCCATTTGTTTATTTGCCTAAATAAATCGCCATCGAACCTGAATTCGAATCTGAATCTAAGCTCCGTCTGAATTTGAATTTGGATCCAAATGCGCACCCAAAGCTCACCGCGCGCGCGGCAGCAATTGAAAATACAAAAAGAAAACTATTTCTTTTTGTTGTTGTTGTTGTTGCTAGAGAAAACTGTATGGAACCTCCCTCTGGCCTCGCGCGCAAACACACAATCAAATGAACATTTGGGTGCTGCTGAAGTTGGAGCCAATTTATGTGGCTAAAACCAGGATCCCGATCCGCCGGGAGTGGGTACTTGTTGTGGTACTGGTACTGGTACTGGGACCTCTGCTGCATCGACTGGAACTTTGTTTATTGCCCCACTAAGGCGACTGACCCACAACATTAAATTGTAATTTGAGTGGGGCAAACGAACATTTTACGGGCAAACTGCGAATTTCGCTTAACCGAAGAGCTCTGAGCTCGGAGCTCTGTTCGTAGCTTGTTTCTTGCTCATGTAAGTCAGTGGAGTCAACAAGAAATCGAGTAATTAGAATTTCCATCTGTGTCTGCGACTGTGACTGTGACTGAGACTCTTCACGCCCCACAAAGGTATGTCCGAGTGTGTTTTCCTCTCTCAAATGTGTGAGGAAAACGGTATTGCAAGAGGCACGCGACTCATTCTGGTGGTTTCGCTAATGACTCGACCATGTCATTGACCAGGGAGCTAGCAAAGACCCCGGGACCCCGGCAGCAACCCGGCCTCAGGCATGGAAATCGATTTGCCAGCAGCCAGCAGCCAACAGACAATTGCATAATCGTTGATTATAAGCAAGCTGCATAGACACGAGACACGAACTCCAAGTCGAGCTCAAAATCAATTCGATTAGTGCGGAAATCAATCCGAGAAATCCAAGAAATCCAAGAAATGCATTTTCCATGCCAAAGAACCGCAAGGCCACTAACGATCCAGCTACCAGCTCGAACCAGCCTCCATATCGATCTTATTGCGAATTGCGATGAACTGCTTCTCGTTTCGGGTATTGCCTCCGCGTGCGTGATCCCAACAAGTGGCGTTATTTTCTAATTCTTATCAATTATGCCTTCCCCATGCAAAACGGGGCATGGGAAGGCAAGGGGATTCTTGGCTATGGGATTGCAAATGTTTTTGCAGTTGCATTTCCGTCAGGCCATTGTCTGGCCATCTAGCAATTCATAAAAATTATGAAAAGAGCCAACAAACGGTGGCAGTGGCAGTGGCAGTGGCAGCATTGGCAGGAAAAAACTGCTACCCACCCAGATTGGTCCCCAAGGGCCGACTGGTGGAGTGGCCTGTTGGCTGTTGGCTTAGACGCCGCCATCTAGCGATGGTCCACCTCATGGTCGTCGTTGTCGCTGTTGACATTGCCGCGGACATTGTCAAGCCGAGCACTTTATTTGCTGCGCGTTTGACATAAACATTTGCCCAGCGGACAACTGAATGGCCAGGGCCTCTGTACGGCTCCTTATAAGAGTGTACGACACGCCGCCACTGGCGGAGCAACCAGAGCCGCAGGCGACGCAGCCGCCGGAGGAGCCACCGCCACCGCCACCGTCTTTGTCATCGAATGTTGGCAATTTTTGAAATACGCATTGCAGAATTTATGTTATGCGTACCACGGTCCCCCGTCCTCCAACCCGGCATCCAGCAGTGACAAAAATATAGGAAAGACAGACAAAAAAAACGGCTGCCTCCTTCTGATCGAGGCTGAAGTCCAAGCACGGAAAGTGTCCAAAGACTTTCGCTATGCCAAAGACCAGGAGGAGGTGCGGTACGAGTATTAGAAAAACCAACAAAACAAAAAAAAAACAAAATAGCAAAGAAGAGCCTCCTCTGGAGGCCATCTCTGAGGCTTTGTCTAAATTTGGATGGCCATGTCAGTGACAGCATTTGACTTGGCAACTTTTCATGTTCATGTTTGCCCACTCGGCGCAAGGAGTTCAAAGCATCAGATTCCAGATAATGTTAAACATTTCCTTTCAAATTGTTTTTCTGGCTACCATCTGCTGCCATCCGTTGTGGTGGCTATTCTTTGCGACTGCCATCTTTGGGGTGGTTTGATAGAAAATCAGTAATAATTATGACAAAAAAAATTATGGCATGGGAGATGAAGATTGCTTCAAATCTCTCTGGAGAGAGCTGCTGCTGCGTTCCATTACAATGGAATTTCTTAAAAAATTATTCGAATCACTTGCCAGACAGATAGCTTTGATAAAGAGGTCCCATTTTCAGTGGCTGGAGTAGGAAATTCCACAAGGCAATTGCAGGAATTCTTGAAATCTTTCAAGAAATATTTATCACTTGCTAAAAGTACTATTCGACCATCTTAAATACACAATTCTTTAAAAGATTAAGAATCCCCTCATACATTCCTAGAAAATTTTCTAAATACAACTTTCCAAGCAATTCCCTCGCCCAGAATCCGTGCCACAAACCTTCCATGCCACCTCCAAAATGTAGGTGAAATCAAGTTAATGAAGTTGTTTACCTGCAATTCGTAGCCTTCTTTTCCTCGCCCAATTAGTTTGTCACTTTTACTGCAGCTACACTTTGGTTTAAGCGGAGTTCAGTTAAGTTCAGTTTAGTTTGCTTTACTTTTGGCTTGGATCAGTTCGGTTTCACTTGGGCAATTTTCCACCTGGTAAGTGTGGCATGGCATTCCCATTCGATTGCGGGCGAGCAGAGGAAGGCTAAACGCTGCTCTTGATTGATTTGTATCAACGTTGATTAGGCCAAAACCAACAATCATGGCCACGGCTTGAGGTTGGCCTTGTTAGGCCAGCAAAACCAAGGCAAAGATGGCAGCCTAGTAGGCTGCAAGTCGGACCTACCGACAGACAGACAGACGGTCAATCAATTGGCATTGGCATTGACATTGACATTGACGGGCAAATTTTGTTTTCCGTAGGAAAAAACCCAAAGGAAAACAAAAGAAAAGCGAAATGCAAACGAGGAGTACGAGTATCTTTCTAATACGTTTATTTACCTTTTATAGCATCTGAAGTTTTGTCTCTTGTTACATTTTTTTTCTCTTTCTTATTTTTGTGTGTGTTTTGTGTTTTATGTATTATGTTGGGTTGTGTATCTGTCTGTGTGTGTGTGTTCGTTTAGACCTAGCATATATATGAGCATTAAGTTAAGTTAAGTATTTAAGTATTAGCAGACAGTCAAACCTCTTAAACGAGCAATTGGCCAGTAGGGGGAGTCGTCAGTACGGTGCTCGCTTGAGAGGTTTGAATGGTTCGTTCGCACTACGGACTAAGGAGCTTTTACGAGTCTTAAGCTGATAGTATGTCGACATATTCAGAGTAGTCTTAGCGGTAAGTCTTATAGAGGGGGCTACGGGGACGGGGACGCCTAAATGGTATATGGGCATATAAGTAAGGTATAAATATTAAGCTACAGCTGGAGCTCGGTCCCAGGCCCTTCCCTCGATCCCGTTGCCATTTGTCTAGGTTTCATCTTTCATCTTCACAGAGGAGTCCAGCAGCTCTGTGTTGCTGCCACATTTCGGATGCTGGGGGAAGGGCCTCGCCTGGCTCTTCGTTCGTTCTCGTTCTCGTTCTCTTCGTACATCTACTAACTAGATTATGAGCGGTGCTAAGTTTTGAGCTAAGTAGAATTTCATGCTAGTTCTTCCTTCATTTCATCTTCATCTTCACGTTTGTTGCTGTGGAAAGGCAAATGCTGCAGTCTTGCCTCTTGTCTCTTGTCTCTGCCTTCTATTTGCTGATGTCGGACGTTCTTTCTGGGATTCGATTCGATTGCACACTCACTCCTGGCTCTCCATTTACCGCTTGTGTAACGCGCGCTTCTGCATATTGTCCCAGACAGCGATGACCGTCAGCTGGAGGAGCAGGAACAGTGCCCCGGCAATTATGAAACCTGTACGAGTATACAGACGGGTGTTTGTGTTGGTAATAGAGTTGTAAAAAGAGTTGAAGAAAATTTACGAGCTTATTTAATTAGCTGGGCACTCAGTCGGCACATTGGAGCCGCTGTCTGAAGCTATGGGCTCTCGGGCTCTCGGGCTCTCGGGCTAGATGGCGCGACGGCACGCGATTAGCGCAAATCAATTCGCCACGCTCGGCGATACCCAGATATTGCCCCAGACCACAGACCCCAGACCCGAGACCCCAGAAACCAGCCCCAGATCGCCACCGTGCTACGCTCTGCCCTGCCCAGAGATCACAGCCCAGAGAGTGAACTGGAACTTACCATAACCATTTATGCAAGTGTCCGATTTGGTGCCCAGTTCCAGTTGCAATTTGGCCAGGCCATCGATGGGCCCTGCGCCGATGCCGTTGCTGTTGCCGCTGCCGCCTGAATCGGCGCCATTGAAGGCGAACTTATCGGTGATTTGTATCGATTGCACCAGCAAAATGTTCTCATCGGTTGCGGCCGGCTGATGACTCACATCACGTTTTTGGCGTTCCGACTTAATGGCCAACTCCAGCTCGACTGTAAAAAGGTAGCAGAGAGGAGAAACGGGGGAAATGGAATGGAAAAGAGCCACAAGAGAGGCAGAAACAAGAAATGAAATATGTTTTCTGGGAGCTGAGCTGTGTGCAACCTGACCAGGGATGGAGTACAACTGCAACTGCAACTGCCACAGCAACAGCGAGTGCCATGCCCGCTCTTAGAGTGGTGCTGCATATCTCTGGTGTGCGATTATCCACTTCCCTTTTGAAGAGCCCCATCCCCATCGCCAACCCCATCTCCCATGGAAGCTGATGAAAGGTCACTCGGTGGCTGGCGTTGCATGTTGCTGTTGCCGTTGCCGTTGCTGTTGCTGTAGCAGCCATCCCTGGCACAGAGAACCGTTTACTTACCGCCATCGGTGCCATTCAGCACTGAACGCTTGCGCCGACCGTAGGATAGCAGACTCTTGAGTTCTCCGTTCTCATCGTTGTCGCAGATAACCGGTTCGCAGCGCGGTATGCAGGGCGTGACCAGGGCGCGGAACTGCACCAGCTCCGAGGAGGGGAACTTGAAGGCGTCGAACTGTGAGAGCAGCACCTTGCGATTGCTGGCCATCTTCTGCATGGCACTCATTATGTACTGGTCCGTGGGACAGCCGTTGGCATCGATCAGCGTGATTTCGGCACTGTCCGTCCCGTCCATGGCCACCAGTTCCCGCACAAATATCTCGTACGGACTGTTCGCGTCGACGATCTCGAATCGGAGGGCCAGCGGGTCTCCCACCTCGGCGATGCGTTTCATGTCGCTGCCATCACGTGCCGTGATCTTCATGATGACATTCGGGGAATCGACAATGATTTCTTCGCTCAGCGTCGACTCGATCTCGCCGGTTACGCCCAGATCCACATTGTTCACCACCGTCTTATTGGTCAGATCATACTGGCAGGAGACGGCCAGTCCCAGATCGGAGGAGGTGACAATCATGTCATGATGCTGGATGACAATGTCGTTCATATACCGGCCGTAGGCACTCTGGCGGACATTGCACTCGAGGTCGTTGTAACGCATCTTCAGATCGAACTCCAGAGAGTTGTTCACGTTGACGGCACAGGATTTGGGGGCTCCCTTGGCATAGACCTTGCCGTCGAACAGCTTCGAGGTGCGAATCTTGGTGATCATTTCGCCAGAGCGGCAATCGATGGATACATTATAGCAGGCAGACTGCTCGTAAGTGGCCGCCTCTTCAATGCTCAGATAGGGCTCCGAGAGATCCGTCAGGGTGGCGCGACTGTGGTGCGAGAGGCGGCAGACATGCTCCCCGGTCTCGTTGTAGTCGTAGGAGTGGCAGCGGAACGGGGCGGTGAGACAGAGGTCGCGACAGTCGTCGATGCTCTGCACATTCTGATGCACCGAGTCGACGGTCTTCAGAATGCGACCCGAGATCCGCTTGAACTCACACAGCTTGCTGGGCTCCTCCGCGCAGTTGTTCTCCAGATAGTCGGCGCCATCGTAGGCCGCGATGTTCGCCTCGTCCGACAGCGTAATGCGATCCATGTCCGAGAGCTCGCACAGGCCAGAGTGCGCATAATAGTTGGCCGATCTTCACAAGAGTCACAACCAAGAGGTAAGAGGCAAGCGGCAAGAGGCAGATGCCGAGTTGGATATAGTTGGAGAGGGATACAAGAGAGTGGCACAAGAGGGTGGCAGATGAATGAGTTGGGTGGGTACACTGCTCGTTGTAACGGGATTCCCAGCACTTACCGACAGGTGAACTCCGTCTCGCCCAGGCACAGCTCGATGCAGTCGCGCCTCGTGGCCACGCTCTGGCTGGCCTTGGCTCGCTCCGGCAGCCGGTAGCCCTGGACGCGATCAATGCACCAGGCCTTCGAGCAGGGTCGCACTCCGAAGCAGGATTTCTGTGCGTATACGGTGAAAACGGGATACTGGGAGCGCGAAAGTGAACCTGCGGATGGAATGGGATGCCAGATGGGATGTGGGTGTGGAAGATGGTGGAGTTCACATTTATTATAGAACATTTAACATACAAGCTTTGGGCAATAGATCGTGGTGCAGATTATAACCCACTGCTCGGTGTGCTCGCTCGGTTTGGCTTGCTTTGGTACTCACCTGGCAACTGATCGGCGGTGCTGCGGAACATGACACACAGGCCCGTCTCATAATTAACCGAGCTGCAAGATTCATTGGCCTGGCAGGCCTCCAGGCAGTCGGTCAGCATGAGGGTGCCGGGCAGCGTTTCCAATTGCCTCGATGGCGCCGATAGCACGTACCTATAGCCCATTCGAGATCGAATGGATCGGAGTAGAATGGAATGGAATGGAATGGGATGGTATCGGGGATTAGGAGGAAAGTAACGCACATAAATTCATGGATACCCGTTCGGGAGCAACAGGTTTTCTCTTTGGGTCTCTATCTCTCTCTCAAGTGGGTGGGTTGAAGTGTTTTTTAAATAATATTATAAATTGAATCTTCCTCTTGGGTTTGGAGGGGGGATCTCTTTCGAAGAATCCAATTGCCCGATGGTTGAATTATGTATTTAGATCACGAGGTGAACCAAATGGAACCCAATTTTCGAATTGTGCCACATTCTTTGAGCAGTGTTGCCACAAAATATTTCTCTTACTTTAAGATTTGAAACAGTATAAATAAATTAAACAAACTACTGCTTTGTCGGATAATTGTTTTTTTCTGTGGGGTTCATTGACCCAAAATGGGGTGCCACATCGGTAAACAATTGAATCGCTGAACTAATTTATTGTTAGCTTGTTAGTTGAAGAACGTTCTGAAGGAAATAGAACTGAATCTTTTTATGTTTGCTGCCAAGTGGTAACCATGAACTTTTCGATTACTCTGACAACCCTCGTCCGTTTTTTTACGATGTGTTTACAGGGAACGACACTGCCATCCCATCCTATAAGTCGCGCCTAATTTATGCCCCCTCGATGGCTGGATCCTACTTTTTTTTACCTTGGTCTCCGTCTCCGTCTCTGTCTCTGTCTGTTCCCCCTTGGGCAACTAATTGCCCGGAATTAAGATTTATGGCCCTGGCCTGGTGACACTTACCCTGTTATAAGCTCGAAGCCAATCATATCCGGCTCGCAGTCCTCATCGATCAGGCCAGAGCCTGAAGGTGTTGCGGTTGGGGTCTGGTTGGCCAGATCATCGGCTTTGGTCTCCACATTGGCAGGTGATGCCGCTACTGATGCCAATGCCGATTCTGATGCTGATGCTGCTGCCGATGCCGATGCGGCTCCAGGTGGCGATGCGACAATCGCTTCCGCTGGTTCGTCGGATTGCAGCGTCAACGGTTTTGGTAGCTCGCTTCCGTTCAATGTTCCAGCTCCCGCTGTGGCGGTGGCTGTGGCTGTGGCTGTGGCTGCGGCTCCCACTGCTGCCGCGGCTGCCAGTGCCCCTGCTGCTGGTATTGGTGTGGCATTGTTGCGCGGAAATGTCTTCAACGGTTTCACCGGCCGCTTGGGCAGCAGCTTGCGTGCTGCCACCGAGCTGTCCACCAGCAGCATTAAGGCAACCAACACCAGGCAACATGTCGTCTTGGTCGTTGTCTTCATCATCATGCTGACTCGTTTCTTTGTCATTGACCGTAGCTGTAGTTGCATTGCTGTTCTTGCCACTGCAGCAAGTTCTCTGCTTCTCTGCTTCTCCTCTTCGCGTTGCTGTTGCTGCTGTTGAAGTTTCTGCAAGTCGGAGGGAACAAAAAAGGTGTTTTGGTAGCTTGGTTTTTAATTAGCATTTCAGTCTGTGCCCCGGCTGCCTCCTAGCCTGGCTTCCCACTCTCATGCTTATCTCATGATTAATTGCGCCAGCAGTTACAGTTAAGCTTTAATAATGGGTTTAATGTTGGCCCAGCAGCAGCCCCACCAGCCACCACTCGTATCTTGCGGCAATTGCAACTGCAACTTGAGCTTATGGTGCTATTGCTACTGTAAGTGCTCGCCTGCAACGCCCACCATCACGAAATGCCGTTGATTAATTGCAATGAAATAGATGCAAAATCAATTTAGTTGATGATCCCCCGATGCCCAGACATCGGCTTCTGCGGGTCTCTCGCTTTGGACCCTGCCACCGCCACTGCCACTGGCAACTGGCTGCTGCCTGTCGGCTGTGGCACGCACAGGCCCAGGAATTAAAATAATGCCACTTAGCCGAACGCACGCACAGGAAGCCGAAAGATACTGCGAGTATAACCAGCAGCTGAAGATGAGGTGGCTTCATGCCAAGATGAGGCAAAAGTTAAACCCAAAGCTGTAAGCCGAAATGGTCAAGAAGAATTCTGATTGGGGGCCCCCTGATCACAATGCGATCGATACGAACAGAACAGAATACAGCACTGTTGAAATGCTGGTAGTTGGATCGTTAGTGGCTTTTGCGGTTCTTTCTCTTCGGCGGCATAGAAAATGCATTACGAGTAATATGCGTTAAATCACAGAGCTCCACTCGCTCTGGCTCTGCTCAGAGTTCTGTTCTGAGTTCTGTTCTGATCTGAGTAGAGCATGGAGCTCTCCCCATGCTCGGATTGATTTCCGCACTAATCGAATTCCACTACAGATCGCGGACTCCCGATTCCCGACTTTCAGCCAGCTGCTGCTCTCGTGAGTGCTCCAGCCTGCTGCAATACCTCATAATCAGCGATTATGCAATTGTCTGGCTGCAAATCAATTTTCATGGGGTCTGGTCAATGACATGGCCAAGGCAATGGAGTGAGTCGCGTGCCTCAGAGTCTACAGAAATTCCTTGAATGGAAAAAACATTCTAATTACTCGGCTCTTCGAGCTCCCAGCTCCGAGCTTCGATCTTCGACTAGCAGCCACAAGTTGAGTCTGCAACTGTCTTGGCCTTGTTGTTGCGATGTTTTAGTTGTTTTTGTTGCTTGCCCCACTCAAATCACAATTTAATGTTGTGGGTCAGTTGCCTTAGTGGGGCAATAAACTAATCCTAATCCTTGCTGCAGTAGCTGCCCCAGCCAGTGGCCACTCTCAGCCATGGACATGGACATGGACATAAATTTCCATTTGGCAGTCGATGCTGCTCCTGCTGCGGCTCCTACTCTCGGACTCCAACATCGACCACAACTTCGACTTGCCTTGGCTGGCATTTCAATTCGAATTGAATGGAGATTTATATATGCATGCTAGTATCGGGATGTTGGTTCATTTATCAGCCAGAGTCTTGGCGAAGGGGAGGCGGGGGGGCAAGTGTTTAGTAACCCGTTTCCCTCTTCTTTAGCATATTTACAGCCAAATTTGACAGTTTGTTTGGCTTCTCTTTATGGAGTGTTTAGATGTGATGTGGGGGGGGGGAATGGGAATCGCCGCTTAATGAATGATTCGACTGCCAGAGAGAAATGACTGGACTGTCTCTAAAGTCTTCACACAGGAGACTTTCAAACACCGGATCTGGTTCAATATTCGGGCTAATCCCACTCAGCGGAGTAGTCCGTCTGTCAGGGTGCCAATAAAACACTTTTATGACACCAATTCGGCACAGAAACGTGTTATTCCTTAATTAAAATGGTGATCAACGGCTCGGTTCGGTTCGGTTCGGTTCGTTGTGTTTCAGAATGAACAGGCAGAACTCTTCCACTTTCCGCTGTTGGTTGCCGTATGTTGGATGTGGGCTCGCGGAAAAGTGTGCCAGGGAAATGCCAGTCGAATGACATAACTGCCAACCGCAAGCTTATCTCAATTGAAGCGCACCTCAATGTAACTGTAAGCCATGTGTGGAAGCCACAGATGGAGGCAGCAACACCACTCGGGCCACTACCAGCCAAGCAACCAGCCAGCCAAGATATACGTACAACCAGCCTGGCGACTACGACTACCCGACCAGGCTATCTTCATTTCATGGCTGGCAATTTGAAAACTGCACCCGCTGGCCATTGGCAGAAGGCAGTAGGCAGAAGGAGTCGACTGGATGGCTGCGCTGCCTCGTTGATGCCTCGCTGGTTGCATGGAATAGCACACGGCCGCAATGTGGGTCACCTCGGAGTTATTTCTATAGAAATACTTTTTTGTTGGCGGCGAAAAATTTCTCAAAGTTAGCGACAAATCTTCAATTAATGGCCAGTGAAATTTCTCAAATATCAAAAGATCTGGCGTGCTCTGACCGTGGCCTGGCCCACAAACTTGTTTCCATTTGATGCGGTGAATCAAAAGACATCTCAACTGGAAGAATGAGGGAAAATCTCAACCGAAAACTTTTCATTTCATGGCCCCAGACGCAGACCCAGACCCAAAGCCAGACCTAACGGCAAGTTAACCGCACCAATTTGAAAGCCGTTCGAAAACCTAATCTATTCACCCAATCCATAAACAAACTCATGTATAAATACATGAAAAAAGAGAGTAAACACTGGGGGAGAACATGATCTTGTGGCTCACGCTTTGCCCGAACATGCCACCGAAATCAACGAAGAAGAGCAGCTCTAACTGTGAAAGCATTTCATCCAGATCATGAAAAGTCCACATGGATCAGTGCCGCCATACACATCGCCGGCATATTAATGAGCCGCTCTGTGTCAGCTTAGGGTATCGTTTACCCTGGGCCCATGGCGTAACAGGCAAATCAGGAACGTTGAGGCACGTAGACCCGAGATTTGTCAGTCAGAAATGTGACTTCATGGCTCAAACCGCAATGGTTCGGTTCTTCGGTTCTTCGATTCTTCGATTCTAATGTCAATGGGGAAGTCTTTAAAGAAAAGGCAGCGAAAGTTTTACATGGTTTGACATTCAAGTCTTGAGGTCTGAGCCCCAGCTAATTGCCATTAAATTGTCGCATCGAACCGTTGCCGTTGCCTGACCCAAATCACACTGGCCACCACCAGGATCCCGATCCCAAGTGGGTAAATGAACAGAACAGCAGAAAAAAAAAACGCAGACTTGGAAAAGGAGAAGTTGAAGCTGAAGCTGAAGTTGAGAAGAACCACTCAAAAGACTTGACCAGGCAAAAGTTAATTGCCTGCAGAATTCTGCACATTTGGGAGTTGACGAGTTCTCTCCGTCTTGCACGCTTCCGGCATGGCAAAAATGCCTTCTTCTTCTCGGGGTTTATCTTGGAAACTGGAAACTAATGTGACATCTTTTCAGGCTGTTTGCTGTTTTGCTGTTGAATGTTGGATGTTCGCTGTTGTCGATCCGACGATCCGGCGACCATCTCAGTCGAACAGAACTGACATTCACCCAGAGCTTTCTCTAATGATCCATTGACCATTTTCGTTTAATTGATGGACATCCTGTTTGGCTGACAATTGACACCTTGTCAGGCTCGGCCTCGGCCTCGGTCTCGGCCATTGAATGTCAATTCAATAGAATTTTTCGGCAAAACGCGTCTTTTCAAATATTTTCAACAGTTTTTCAAACACTTTTTGGTTTACCTTTGATTCAAAATATCGAATGCACTTTAATGTTAACCAAAACGTTTCAGTATTTCACTCGAGCTGGCAGGACACGCACGATTTGGTTGATTAATTGTTATTTAATTCCTTTCCTCTGGTACTTTGTTTGATTTAAACTCTTTTTGTTTGTTTGTTCGTTGAACCGAAACTGAAATTGCTCGAAACTTTTGAACCGTCGAACCGCTCGAGCGCTCGCCGTCTGCACTGTCGAAAGTGGAGCGCCTAACTGCCTAGCATATGTTTTGGGTAAACGTTCTTATGTGACTTCGACTTCGAATGCGACTCCGTCTCCAAGTCCGACTCGACTGCGACAGCGAAGCCAGAATTCCAGATGCTGCGGGGAAATGGAGAATCGATTCGAATGGCTCTCACAGTTCGTTAGCTTCTATGACTTCAGCGTTTGCGTTTGCGTTTGCGTTTGCCACTGCCACTGCGACTGCCAGTTCGAGCACCTTGACACTGAATGCTGGCTGCGAAGGCCGCGGAAAACGTTTTCAAGCTGGGAAGCCACCGTCAGAGCCAAAGCCAGGTCCAAAGCGAGAGCCAATGTCGATGTCGAAGCCGGCGTTGGCGTTGGCGTCGACGGAAGCAGAAGCGGCGGTGGCAGTGGCAGTGGCAGTGGCAGCATCGACTAACTAATGTTGCCTCTGCCACGGCCACGGCCGTGCCTCTGTCTGTGCCTCCGCTGTGCTCTCTTTGGCCAAGTAAACCGGTAAAAGACAGACGGCTAATGCCGAGCCTCTCTTAGCCAGCTCTCTTGTGTCGGCCATTCTCTTTGCTGACAACTTTCTTCAGCAGAAGCTTTTCTCGCAGCCAGCTCTTGAAGAGGCCCCAGCCTCAACAGAGGGCCTGGGACTGGGACTGGCTCTGGGTCTGGGTCTGGGCCCTCTGCGATTCTTGTTCTTGTCGGAAGTAATAAAATGCAATTATAACAGTGGAGGCAAATGATTTTCTAATGCGATTGCCTGACACGCAGCTTCAGCATTGAATTGCACTGAATAATGCCAAATTGAAGTCTCCCAGCAGGTTATGCTCGTGGAAGAGTTAGATGTAAAGGTAGAGCCAAAGGTAGAGTTCATTTGCAGCTGCAGGTGCATTGATCATTCAAGAAGAGAGTCCATCAAAAGAGGGGAGCCACGAACCACAAGCGGTGCTCTTCTGAAAGCAGAAGAGGAGAGAGATGAGAGCTGGCTAGAACCCTGCAGCTTTCTAATGACCAAAGTTGTAACTACTCGCACCAGAAGAACTACGTGTACTGGGTACTGGTATCTCCACTTGTACACGATGAGCATTACCTCAGCGCACGCCTAATTAAGTGCGCGATAACAATCGAATCAGAGAGGGAGCTTCGACGGGCTCCAAGCTATGGGGAATGGGGTCACTGATT